GGGTCGGTCACCTACAACCCGAAAAAGTCAAAAAAAATTTTTCGCTCAAAACTTGCTCCTAGGGGTAATCGACAGTCCTGATCACGATTCTAGACTTTATTTTCGGTTCCAGTGCCATCTGGCACCGGCATAGCGCCGAAGAGCTGAGTCTGTGCATACTAACGAATTCGAACGAAAAAGCAGTTTTGCTCCATAAAAGTAGGATTGTTCAGTTTATCGTGAATGTTTTTGTTAGGACCAATTATTTAGACAAACATGGATCCAAAAAATGAAAAATTGTAGAAAAGCAAAATTTTGTCCTCGGTGGGATCCGAACCATCGACCTATTTTTTACGTTTTTTTTTATTCGTAGAAGCGCGCAGCGAAAATGAACCTCAGTTTTCTGGTCCTCGTATGTGCCCCTACAATATGCACAAGACCATTTTGAAAAAGCTCACCACGCCCTGAACGACCTCCCTTGTTAGATCAAATGGTACATTGCGCATATCGGTTAGTGATAAAGGGGGTGAGTTCGTTGTTATGTCACAATCCCTTGATCGGGCCATAACCGAACTCCATTTGCGTGATTCTTCTATTTATCGCCGCGTTACCAACAAGGACTTTTCCTCACAGTGCGCCCGCCTCAATCGTGTATGGTTGAGCGTTGCGAACTCTGCGGGCCTTGATGGAAAACTCGTAAGTAGACTCAAAACGGATAGTCCAAACTGTCCGGTTTTCTATAGCCTCATAAAGACCCATAAACTTTCTGCACACGATACGCTGTCAATATCACCGGATACGTACAAAATACGTCCTATTATAAGCTGTGTGGGTGGACCAACCGATAGAATCTCGTGGTTTCTCAATCTAATTGTGAGCCAATTGTTGACCAAGGTTCCGTCTCACCTGTCCAATACTCAGCAATTCCTTGAAATATTACGGTCCTCCAACCTTGGAAGGAGCACTGTAATTGAGTCCTTCGACGTCGTTTCGCTTTACACCAATGTCCAAAACGAGCAAGCCTTACAAGCATTATCCGAAATGCTGGATAGGCATGCTAACAGTATTAACACATTTGGGCTTGGTAAAATGCATATAATGACGTTGGTCAAGGAATGCTTGAGTTGCAACATCTTCAAATGGGCAGGGACATACTACTCGCAAGTCAGAGGCTTAGCCATGGGTCAACGACTAGCACCAGTTCTTGCGGTATGCTTCATGGGTAGAATCGAAGAACCGGTACTAGAGCGTCATCCATTGATGTACTGTAGGTATATCGATGACTGCTTCATCATAACATCAACACAGTCCGAAATGGACGAGTGTTTTCGAATAATGAATGAACAGTCACAGTACATCAAGCTCACACGCGAGGTACCACGAGACGGTTGGCTTCCTTACCTAAACACACAGGTGAAGGTATCCGGAGGCATTGCTAGTGTAAAGTGGTACGTAAAACAAGTTCGAAGAACATCCTACTTCACGCCATGTCAGCTCATCCACAATTCGTCAAACGTGCAGTTGTCAACAACATGCTGAGAACAGCAACGAGTATGTGCACAGGCGAAGCTGAACGTCAAGAATCACGACGTTTAGCATGTGAGATAGCTGCCAAGAACGGTTATACGGTACCACAGCGTCATGGAAGGCAGCGCACGAACACGCGAGAAAGTCCGCGCCAAAGCAAGTTGCCACTATGTCTTCCTTTCATCTCTGATAAGGTCACTGCTGCAATACAACGGAGCATTGCTAGAGCACAGCTGCAAGATGCCGTTCAGTTAGTGAACGCTTGGGAAGCATAAAGCGGAGGTGCATAACGGCGACAACTTTGCGATAAAGTGCACAATACTGGCGCAGGAGACGGATATTGCGGCTAGGAAGGCATTAGAGG